GTTAAAGACAATGACGTTTCCCCTCTCAGCTCTGAACTGTCATCCTCCAGTGAGACTGTGACTGGAAGCGATCGAACCATCAGGGGCTAAAGGCCTGGGGTCAAACCAGGACTGTAATCACCACGTGAATGTAGCGTAAAGGTTCTACCCTTGGACCATACCCTGTTTTCTAAAAGTGGAAATGTCAGCTAGGAAAACAGCAAAAACATTAAAAAGGAGAAAAATAGTTACTATTGGATGCCTGGAAAATTTATTTAAACTACATTACAGGAGATCAGGTCAGTAGCCTCCAAAGTGGAGTGTGCATGATAATCCACTGGGGTGCATGAAGAAAATCGGTTTGTACCATTAATATATACAGCTTAAAGAATTTTAAGAGTGTTTCTTTAACTTTTCTCCCTTCCATTTGTAATTTTTGGTTTTGTGTATGTTTTATACATATTAGTACAAAGTACATGTACACAATTCACAGAAAGTATATTGAGGGTGGGTGCTCACTAATTTTTTAGTGATGGGGTGAATGACCAAAAAAGGTAGAGATTGCTGCCTGAGATCATTCTTCTAGGTCCTCTACAGGAAGGTAAACAGTCCAAACCCTACAAAGCTTGCACTCTAAGGTGACAGAACATGCCAGCAAAACCAAAGCAGCATTTTTACATCAGATTCGGAGTAAACATAAAAAGTTCGCCCTTCTCTCACTGGGTGAGCTCTACCTATGGGCCTGGTACTCTATTGTTTTCCTCCTAATTCTCATGTTTTCATGTTTTACTTCTCACCATCTCCAATCCATCAAGAGTAAATCCTTAACCAGTAACATACCCTTTTCAACACACTCTCAAACATTGGAAAAGCATCCTCCTTTGTCATACCCCTCTCTGCAAATTCCCCAGCACCTCAAATGCTTTCTCACAGTTGACAGCACCTTTCACTTTCTTGCATTTCTGTGCATCATTCCCCTGCTCCTACACCCAATCCTCCACCACTGAACGTGAAATAATCTGGCAGTACTGCAGGTGCTTTTTGTCACTTGAAATGGTGCCATTATTTCACCACCCCTAACTTCCCAGGTAATTCCACTTTATCAACTCCAGAATGAATCACTTGACAAAACACACACAAGTTCACATAGCAGGTTACTCAAAAGCTGCAATCCCATCACCCTCTGATGAAATTGCCATTAAAAGCAGAGTTGGAGAAGAGATCTCAACATGATTCAGTGGATACAAACTGGAACTGACACACTAGCATTTTCCCCTACATAAACCAGACAAAATAGAATCAAATCCATATGAGAACAGGGTCTAAGGATTGCAATTATTCTTGCTGAGCCTCAGGCAGGGGAAAAATGTATCAGAGCTGAATATCCCTATCCCACACACATTCCAACCAAAAAGTCATTAGAAAACACAAGTGCAAGGCAGTTATCTTTGTAGTTCATGCCTGCCCATCGGAAAGCATCAGAGAGTGCTCTTCAAACACCATGGGTATCTCCAGACCCACATGAGACACATAGGAGAAGGTGCCTAAAGTCAAAACTGAAATATCATGAATAGGCTCAATAAGTGATACAAAAAAAGGATAGAAAAGGGTAAGTGATGAGACATAATAGATTTAAGCTACACCAAGCAGCTCACAGGATACAACACACACCAGCTGAGGCATTTCTAACAGCAAACAGAAAAGAGAGCGTATGACAACCACACACCGAAAGAACTCAAACAAACCCCCCCAAAAAAACCCACAGTGAGAATTTACAGCATTGACATACACAGTAATTAACTGAGTTAAATTTTAAAAATAGCATCAGGAGAAACTCCCATTCTTGCTGTATCAGCAGGCCTCAGGATCTCGTGCTGCTGGAAGTTTCCCAGGAAGCAATGAGGAAATTCACTTGGAATTTTGCCCACTTTCACTTTCTAGATGTAAGTGGATGGGCACATAAAATCCAAATATTTCCACCTTCTCCTGCTCCTCAAGCATTTATTATTCCTCATTTTCATGACAAATTCAAATCACAATTAACCCCCCCCAAAATCTAGAAAAGACAACCATTTTGTGAGCAGCTGATGAAACATCCTTTGTGATATCTATGCCCTTATTTCTAACCAACATATATTGAGGATAAACAACACGGGGTACAGGGGGTAATGAGAGATAGCCCCAAAACCATTCTGCAAGACACTTGCAGAGGGAGGAAAATCTCTTCCACCCACAAAGCTGCAGATGCCACAGAAGAAATGGAAAATATCAACATATATATTAATAAAAATGTAAAAAAAATAGATGGAGAGACTAACAATATTTGCTAATAAGAAATATAGGAAAATATACATGAACATGCAAAACAAGTATTATATAGAAATAATATCAGAGCATGAAATAAGAGGAAATAGACATTGGTAGGCAGAGAACTTTTACAATAAAACCCAAACAAGGCAACAGACAAAACAGATGAAAAGGAAACCCT